TCTGCTGCCTTGCTCTTCCACCTCTGGGGACACCTTGACTTGTCACCTCACCCTGCCACCATGCCTTGTCACTTCTGGGAACACCTCGTTCTGTCATCTCACCCTGTCACCTCAATCTGTCACCTCTGGGGACACCTTGCCCTGCCACCTCACTCTGTCACCTCTGGGGACACCTTACCCTGTGACCTTGTCCTGTCACCTCACCCTGCCACGTCTGGGGACACCTCTCTGGGGACACCTCGCCCTCTCACCATGCCCTTCCACCTCTGGGGACATCTCACCCTGTCACCTCACCCTGTCACCTCTGGGGACACCTTGCCCTGTCACCTTGCCCTGCCACCTCACCCTGTCATGTCCCCCTGCCACCTCACCCTGTCACCTCTAGGGACACCTTGCCTCATTACCTTGCCCTGTCACCTCTGGGGACACCTTGCTCTGCCACCCCTGTGGTCACCGCATAACCATTTTTTCACTCATTTTTCCCACCCCGCCCCACAGACACATCAAACCATCTGAAACCACCCCTGACAAATCCCACTGCACCCACCTTCCATCATCCCTCTTCTCCAAAATTTCCGACCTTTCTCACAAACCCACCCTCCAAAACTCATTCCCAACCCAACTTCTCTCTCAACATCATCCATCCTCTTCCAGAACGTTCCTAAATCAACGTTTCTTACCTCAAAATTTACACATAAATATTAAAATCTCCTACAAATCCATTTCCCCCACGTTGACACCTCCAGGGGGTGACACTGATGTCCCCTCCTCGGTGTCCCCGTGTCCCCGCAGCGGACAAGTGCATCCAGAACGTGTACCGGGACCTGCGGCTGTCGCGCAAGAGCCGCCAGGAGCACGTGGGCATCCTGGGCAACCTCATCCTGCGCGACAAGCTGCCCCTGGACGACATCCGTGCCAGTGTCACCGAGATGATGGCAGGGGGCGTGGACACGGTGCGGCCTGGGGACAGGACAGGGACAGGGACAAGGGCCTGGGTGGGCGGGGAAAAGGTCCTGGGTGGTGATGGAGGGACAGGGAGAAGGTCCTGGGTGGTGATGGGACAGGCATGGAGAAGGTCCTGGGTGGTGATGGGACAGGCATGGAGAAGGTCCTGGATGGTGATGGGACAGGCATGGAGAAGGTCCTGGGTGGTGATGGGACAGGGAGAAGGTCCTGGGTGGTTCTGGGACAGGCATGGAGAAGGTCCTGGATGGTGATGGGACAGGGAGAAGGTTCTAGCTGATGCTGGGTGGGACAGGGAGAAGGTCCTGGGTGGTTCTGGGACAGGCATGGAGAAGGTCCTGGATGGTGATGGGACAGGCGTGGAGGAGGTCCTGGGTGGTGATGGGACAGGGAGAAGGTCCTGGGTGGTGATGGGACAGGCATGGAGAAGGTCCTGGGTGGTGATGGGACAGGCGTGGAGGAGGTCCTGGGTGGTGATGGGACAGGGAGAAGGTCCTGGTTGATGGTAGGTGGGACAGGGAGAAGGTCCTGGGTGGTTCTGGGACAGGCAGGGAGAATGTCCTGGGTTGGACAGGGAGAAGGTCTTGGTTGGGGCAGGGAGAAGGTCCTGGTTGGTGTTGGGACAAACAGGGGGAAGGTCCTGGCTGGTGACGAGTGGTCAGGGAGAAGGTCCTGGGTGGAGAAGGGAGGGAGAAAGTTCTGGATTGGGCAGGGAGAAGGCCATGGTGTTGGATGGGTCAGGGAGAAGGTCCTGGTTGGTGATGGATGGGACAGGGAAAAGGTCCTGGTTGGGGTTAGTGTTGGTGTTGGGACAGGCGGGGAGAAGGTCCTGGGTGGTGCAGGGAGGGAGAAGGTTCTGGATTGGGCAGGGAGAAGGTCGTGGCTGGTCCTGGGTGGGGCAGGCAAGGGGAAGGTCCTGTTGGTGATGGGTGGGACAGGGAGAAGGTCCTGGGTGATGTTGGGACAAGGGGGAAGGTCCTGGTTGGTGCTGGGTGGGGCAGGGAAAAAGTCCCAGGTGATGATGGAAGGGCAGGGAGGGAGAAAGTCCTGGCTGGTGATGAGTGGTCAGGGAGAAGGTCCTGGGTGGGGCAGGGAGGGAGAAGGTCTTGGATTGGACAGGGAGAAGGTCGTGGGTGGTGATGGGTGGGACAGGGAGAAATTCCTGGTTGGGGCTGGCTAGGGCAGGGAGAAGGTCCTGGTTGGTGACAGGTGGGGCAGGGAGGGAGAAGGTCCTGCCTGGGGCAGGGAGAAGGTTGTGGGTGGTGTTGGATGGGTCAGGGAGAAGGTCTTGGGTGGTGCTGGGTGGAACAGGCAGGGAGAAAGTCCTGGACTGGGCAGGGAGAAGGTCCTGGATGGTGATGGGTGGGGCAGGGAGAAGGTACTGAATGGGACAGGGAGAGGGTCCTGGTTGGTGCTAGGACAGGCAAGGAGAAGGTCCTGGCTGGTAATGGGACAGGCAGGGAGAAGGTCCTGGTTGGTGATGGGTGGGGCAGCACCAAGCTGGGCAGGGAGAAGGTCCTGGCAGCACTGAGCAGGTCCTGACAGGGCTGAGCAGGTCCTGGCAGCTCTGGGCCATCAGGAGCAGGTCCTGGCAGGGCTGAGCAGGTCCTGGCAGGGAAGAGCACCTGGCAGCTGCGGGCCAGCAGGAGCAGGTCCTGGCAGCTGTGTCCCCTGTGTGTGTCCCCCAGACGTCCATGACCCTGCAGTGGGCCATGCTGGAGCTGGCGCGGGCCCCGGGAGTGCAGGAGCAGCTGCGGGCCGAGGTCCTGGCAGCCAAACGCGAGGCGGGCGGCGACCGCGAGAAGATGCTGAAATCCACACGGCTGCTCAAGGCCGCCATCAAGGAGACACTCAGGTGAGGAGGAGGAGGAGGAGGAGGAGGAGGGGCTCAGGGGAGGAGGACACGCCCTTCCTCCCCGGAGCGTCCCCAAGCCCGCGGTGTCACTGTCACTGTCGCGCAGGCTGCACCCGGTGGCCGTGACCCTGCAGAGGTACACCACGCACGAGGTCATCCTGCAGGACTACCGCATCCCGCCCGGGGTGAGGGGACACCGGGACACGGGAAGATGGGGACACCGGGACATGGGGACACGGGGATGTTGGGATGTGGGGACATGGGGACAGGGGGACAGAGGGAGAGGAGGACATGGGGAGAGTGGGACACGGGACACAGGGACATGGGGAGATGGGGAGATGGGAACACAGGAACATGGGGACATGGGAACATAGGAGTGATGGGGACATGGGCACATGGGGACATGGGGAGATGAGGACACGGGGAGATGGGGACACGGGGATGGTGGTGACATGGAGACAGAGGGGGCAGGGAGACACAGGGACACAGGGAAATGAGGACATGGGGACACAGGGATGCGGGAACATGAGGGCATGAGGACATGAGGATGTGATGATACAAGGACACGGGAACATGTGGACATGAGAACACGAGGACACGGACACACGGGAACATGTGGACCTGAGGATGCAAGGACACAGGGACATAAGGACGAGGACATGAGGACATAAAGACACAGGGTCATGAGGACATGGGGATGTGGTGACAGTGACGTGGTGACATGATGCCCCTGCCTCCTGTGGGACATGGGGGGACACAGAGACGCAGGGAAGCAGGGACATGAGGACACGAGGACATGAAGACACGGGGAAACGAGGACATGAGGACATGGAGATACAAGGACATGAGGACATGGGAACATGGGGATATAAGGACACAAGGACATGGAGACACAGGGACATAAGGACACGGGGACATGAGGACTTGGGGACACGGGGACATGAGGACATGGGGAAATGAGGATATGAGGACATAAGGACATGATGATACAAGGACACGAGGACATGGGGACATGAGAACATGAGGACACGAGGACACAGTGACATGAGGACATGAGGATATGAGAACATAGGGACATGGGGACATGGTGACATGAGGACATGGGGACATGGGGAAGTAGCAATGTGGAGACATGGGGACATGAGGACACAAGGACACAGTGACACAGTGACACAGTGACACGCTGT